GGGGGGGTGTTTACATACAAGGATTTTAAAAAACGGCACACATGGTCCACGTCTTCCTCTTTGAAATGAATCTAAAAAATAACGGCCCCACAGCCCCCCCCCCCAGTCCAGGGTTGACGACAACAGAGGAGTTGCTTTAAAAAAAGATTCAGAGAAAACTTTAAAACCCAACAGAAGTGAAGTGAACGTCCAGTTCTGACGGACAGAATTCACTGCGACGACCAGAACCATAGAAGAAGAAGAAGAAGAAGAAACTACTGGATATGACGATGATAAATACAAACCAAGTTATTATTAAAAACATTAACAAAAGTGATTGGCAACAGAGGACGAGGCTGGGGCAGCTCTGACCTCTGGGTCCAGGATGTGCCGTCCACTCTGACCTCCTGACCTTCTGACCCCTCCTGCTGTCACGGTTAGTGATGAGGCACAGGAATGTTTGTTTGTTTGTTTGTTTGTTACCCACTGGTATGTGCTCAGGTCACTGGTGAGGGAGGAGGACATGGCCAGACTGGGGATGGGGGGTGGGGAGGGGGGGGCTGCAGGAACCCCTCCTCCTCCTCCTGTGGGGCCCGGGGAAGGGGGGGGGGGGGTCCTCCCAGGTCCACAGTAAAGAGTGCTCTTGTCAAATCAAATGGTTTCCAGCTGTTGGGGGCCCAGCCCCCGATTGTCTCAGTGAACTCTTCTACTCTAACGGCATTAAAACATTTAAAACCTGTCGACACCATAGTCTGAGGAGACGCAGAGGAGACGCAGCTGCACCCAACGGTCCTTCCTTCACTGGCATCAACAGAAGCCCCCCCCCACAGGCTGCTGATACAGAGTGCTAATTCAAGAGATTTAGGGGGGGGGGGGGTTCATGTGCCATAGATTTTTTTTTTTGTGCCACTGGTTTTTCACGTCTTTTCTTTTTTTTGGTTCAAGGATCAGAGAAGAAGTGAGAAGTTCTGACATCATGAAAATGTCTGTCAACGTTTGGCTGCAACAGAAAAATAATAAGCGACGGGGACGGCGGGGGTGGGGGGGGGGTTGTATGGGTGACAATGTGCGACGGCGACAGCCAATGATTGGTCGGTTCAACACTGTCAACGTCCCTCATCTACAGGAGTCCTGCGACCCCCGGGGGTCCTCGGAGCCGGCGTCTGCTCCTGGTTCTCCATCCTCATCCTGCAGGTCCCCCCCTCCTCTCCCAGACCCCTCCCCCGCCTGGGCACCAGAAGGTCCAGGGATGGAGCAGGCCGAGTCAGCGTTGCCCATGCCACAGGCGTCTGAAGGGTTGGCCGTCTGCATGATCTTCTGACGAACCTCCCTGATCTTCAGCTGCAGACACACCTTAGTGGGAAAGATGTCCGAGTACCGGGTCTGGAAGGCTGCGGTGGCCTGAGCTGGAGACAGCGGGGCAGGTCAGACAGGCAGAGAGACAGAGAGACACAGACAGTCTGTGGTCTGTGGTCTGTACCTGATGGAAAGAAGCCCTGCTCCTGGAACAGCTGCATGACCAGAGCTCTCCTCTGGTCCAGGGTTCGTCTCAGGGAGGAGTACGGAACCTTCTCAAACTCCAGCTCTGCCAGGATGTCTTCTCCATCAG